TCTGTTTAGACAACGTACCTTGACCCCTTGGAAGAGTGACCGCCGCCAAAAACGTATACACAAAAGTCAAGTAGTGTCAATATCACAGTGAAAAAAATAATAAAAATAAACGTACTTAAAAACACTATTTACACACACAAAGTCAATTAACTAATAAGTGTCTATTTCACCGTAAAAGAATTGTTCGACTAATTGTATTTATCTTACGATAATACGATAATTATCTTACGATAAATAATTGCGATGCGTGTAGGCAGCGAAACACACCTGTATTCTGAGAGAATTGCGCGTGAACTGGAAGCCGAATTTCCAAATTCCAAAATGGCGAAAATAATAAAAGTAATAAATAGGGCGGCCACAAGGTGCAATTATCGTTTATCGATACTTTTCTTTTTACACTTACTTACCTACTACATTTGAATACAAGTAATTTTGATTTTTGATTTGAAAACAATCGACAAGTTATTGATTGTTAAAAAAAGTTTATTTTTATACAATTGAACTTACGAAACTACCGATTTGTAACTTCCTGGGAAACGGGTAAGTATGTATGACTTTTTAATTGGTTGTTTTTATGGGTTTTTTAGCATGTTAAAATTATTTATTATCTCTAAATCTACAAGAACACACTTAAACAAAAAAATCTTTAAAGTTTAGCTTTAAATACTTAGGTCGTAGTGTTTTTGGAATTATCATAACAACACGATTATTCTAAAAAAACCATACCCTAAGTGTTTAAAGCTAAACATTTTTTTTGTTTATCGATTATTACTCCCTTTGAAAGAAGATAATCGTCGATAACTGGTGTCCTACTCTACGACAAAGGCGCGCGCGCTTGTGCTGTCGCCTTTGAAGTACGCCGCGTGCCTCGTGCCGCTTGTTTATGGACGCCGACAAAAGACACCGCTGTCGATATGTCGCAATACCAATAGTTTGCACTGCGTGGCAACGTCGCTTTTTAATGTTCAAGGATTCAAGTTCATTGAATCATTGACTTAGTGACTCAATTCTATAGAGAGTTCAAATTTGCTTAAAATTAAAACTCTACTTTTTGACCTAATTACTGGACCGATTACGTTCATTTTTTGTATATCGTCAGCAAAGGCGATAACAAGTATATGGTTTCATTTATTGCATATATGTGGGACCCATTTGTATGAGAGACCACAATCACAATCAAGCTTGTACACTCCCGCATCTTGTAGAGGAATATGACACTTGAAGGATGGTAAGAACTGACCAATCTTCTTCGGCGGCTTGTAGAATGTTCTAATAGAAGCTCGCTTCAAGATGTAGCCAATCTTGTCTATGACACCTCTGACATATGGTAGTACAGCAGGCACACGCTCGACTGTGGCCGGCTTCACTCGGTCACTGTGACGTAGGCGCGGGACCCGAAGCTTGTTGTCGTGCAGAACCTGCTTGACGTGCTGAGCTCGGCGGCCAGGTGTTTGCTGTCACAGATTCCTCGTGCTCTCTGTAACAAAAATTTGCCCACTGTAGCTAACTGTAAAGGGAAATGGTGAGATTCACCATTTAAATATCGGTTTGTATAGGTCTTTTTTCCATACAGAGTATGACCTATGGTGTTGTTAGGATTGCGGATGACTAACACATCTAGGAAAGCTAAGAAAAAATTTGCCTCTAACTCCATAGTAAATTGAATTTTAGAGTTCATGGAATTAAGATGTTCTAAATATGCAGTTACTTTGTCTGGTGGTAAAATTGTAAAAAAAGTATCGTCTACGTACCGCTTGTAGAACCTTTGGGTAACAGGTGCAGTAAGGAGGGCTTTCTCTTCCGATCTCGTCCGATCTCCTCCGAGGTGTTTTCGATACTTCATATCCAAGATGAGAGCTGTTGAGTTTAGCATGAGCAGGTTTCGGTTTAATAAAGTTTATAGCTGCGGCCATGAACAAATCTCTGGATTGAATGGTGTTGAATTGAGCAACGATCGATCTGTCTTGTGCTTTCAAGATTTAATTCAGCTATGCGAGTACATTGGCAAATATTGTCCCTGTAAATATTACAGTTAATGACTGCCAATATTGGTTATAATCTCAATAATATTTTCAGTTTTCTTTTCCGGGATGCATTGGATTTCCACATTGTTTGAACGTGCAGATTTTGAGGGTTAACAAGTTGCTGACATCAAACAAGCCAAGTGAAATGTCTTGCGGCATGCATTACATAGAATGTACTCATTGTCCTCTTTATTAGATTCTCCGCAACATCACCACTCCTTATTTTTACTGGACATTGTTATAAATTATAATTTATTACACATAGTACTCCTATCACTTCCAATATTTCATTCAACACTGTAAGATTGACCATAAAACTTGTAGGCATTGTGAGTTTAGAACGTAAGGTAATAGTAAAATTTTTATATATCATTGAGTATTGATTTGTTTTAAAAGATGCACCGCTTAAAGTGGTAAATTAAAAATTTAAGAAATAAATATAAAAATGTCCGAAAATAAAATAAATATTCATCTATGATAATAATTGAAGGTTTGAACTTGTGCCTATAAAATAAATAACAGTGTTGGTGATGCGCAACGTTCAAGTTCAATTTTTGTTTAATTTCTTCGTTAAAGTTACATTAACACACAATGATTATGCCGTTTAAAAGGCTGTTGAAACAAACATCACGCACTCAGTAATGTAACTTCCACCACTAAACGCAAAAAAATTCTCTTAAACTATTATTTTTTGCGGATATAATTTATGCGTCTACTTAGTTAGAGCCAGCGTTGTAGCACGAATAGGTCGGCTCAACCGGGTAGGACCACGCTCTCACAGAATACCAGCGTCAAATAGCAGCTTAATGCTGCTGTGTTTCGTATGGTGAGTGTAAAGAGCCGGAGATCCTTTTTATCGGAAACGAGACATTCCATCTTAGTCCTAAGTGGTGACGATGCATCTGCATTTTGATTCTTAATCGAGGATAAATGTAGATGTCTATGGCTTCCACTTATCATCAGGTGGATTGTGTGTTCACTTGTCACCCTTATTCCATAAAAATAAATAAATAATGTACTCTGTGATTTACAGCATATATAAAAATTAAAGTTTTTCTTTTTGGCTCGTAAAAATCTGTCCCACTGGACAGTGAATTTATCCATCTCGGCTATGTGTCAAATATCTTTCGTCAGTAACTACAAACTAGTAAAGAGGGTTAGTAGCTGTCATCCGTTGCGGCGATTCAATTTCCGCCATTTTTGTTTTAGAAATTACTGGAACTTGCTTATACTCTTTTCGCTTTTAGTTTTAGCACTAATGTTAATTAATATATAAATTTTGATGAGCAAAACATTTTAATTTTATTTTATTGTCTAAGCCATATAATTAAAGAAAACATGAATTAAGTAAATCATTGCAACCGTGCAGTAAAATACAGCCTCAATGGTGGAAACAGATAACAGAACACGATTCGCCATCTTAAAACATACTGTCTTATTAAATGTAACTACTATTACTTTATTAAAAAAAAAAAAACAAAAAACATGTTTCATTTTCTAAGCGAGGTGGTAGATACACTAAACGAAAACTAAGTATTCCTTGCTTATTAATTTACAAAATGTATATAAATGTACCTAAAATTATTAAACAATCCAATAGTACCTAACAATAAAATGCGTTCCTTGCTTAGGTTCTCGTTTTTTTTCAAAAGTATTTAAATATAATATATACTAGATACTAGTGACCCGCCCCGGCTTTAGTCGGCTATTAATGTTGCGTTATTTTAGATTTAAGATAATCAAAGACCATTTATTTTATCGAATTTATGTTATTCCGAAAAAAAAATCTTCAAGTTTTTCGGATAAAATATGACTTAGATACTTCCTGGCATTGCTCCCTGTCTGTCGTCTGTTTCATCACAATCAAGAAGATTTTTTTCGGACAGACAGACAGACAGACTTAAATGTATTTGAGTATAGTCATTTAATTTGTAGCGTTCGCTTAAAAATAAGAAATCGTTAGCAAGACAGACTGACAAAAATTGTGCGTGCGTGCGTGTGCGTGCGTGCGTGTGTGTGTGTGTGTGTGTGTGTGTGTGTGTGTGTGTGTGTGTGTGTGTGTGTGTGTGTGTGTGTGTGCGTGCGTGTGTGTGTGTGGATGTATGTAAACCTCTTAGGTATAACTTTTGAACAGCTTGACCGATTGAAATGAACTAAGTGTATTACTAAAGTGTTTCATCAAACTTAGATTTCCTATGAATTTTAACTAATTCGGACCGGTAGATTTTGAGCAATCTTAATATTAAAAATTTTGAAAAACTGTTTTCTTGGAATAATTTTTAAGTGGCTTCACTGATCGATTCCAAAAACTAATCAGCTTGAAAAACCACGTCGATCGCCGCCGGTCTGGTCAAAATCGGTTGATTCGTTCGTGAGATATCGTTAACGAAAATTTTTGAAAAAATTGATTTTTTAAAATTACTCCGATATTTCATATTTAACGTCATAATTTGGAATTACTCCGATATTTCATATTCAACGTCATAAATTGGTGAAATTTGGAGCGTGTTGCATTTGAAATTAGCGGGAAGTTCCAGGGATGGCTTGCAGGGTCAACCAACTTTTTTTATCTTTAATTGGATAGGGCGGGTCGTCAGCGTTTAAGAATATCCATCGAAATTTTGTACAAAGAGTAGATACGTTTTATTTTTGTATTTCCGTTGCTATAGAAACAGATGTTTAGCTTAGTGACTTGGTGTAAATTGTGTCAACTTTTGTAGCTAAATATTTTTTGTAACCAACCCGTGTAAACACCGTGAACATATTATATAATTTTAGCCTGTTATTTATTTTTACTGATTTATATCTAAATTAATAAAATATATATTCTTAGATTAGCACAATGGCTATACGAAATCCAAGATTACCATTATTGCCCGGATATGGAATGAATCCATTGGCAAGTTATATATAACATAATGTTCTTTTAGTTTCGTTCAAAATTACATTTTAAAATACTTATAATTTTATTTGCAGATTGGAAGGAAAAGTTTTGGAGTTCGGCCAATTTTTACTACTATTGACAATGTAAATATGTTAATCGATAAACCCGAAGATGTCAACCGCGTCCCTTCTCTTTATTCTAGGAAGCAAACACCAGAACTTCCCTCTTGGATCATGTATGATAAGCATGTACGTTATTCATTCCTATATTATATGTTAAGGAATTTCTTACTTTAAGGCGACACCGTAAAAAAATGCACCTCCTTTCATCGAATAGTATAGGACTATGACACCACTAACGCAAGTGGGATTTTGATATAGGTAAATTCACGTCTTTATCTTGAATTTGACTGCTCAAAAACACGATTGTATAATTTTGACTCAATCATAATTATTTGTGAAAACACCTCTAAAAATCACTATAGTTGAAATTACAACGAAATCATTTGATCTATATGCTTGGAAATCACTCAAATATATTCATAACATCAATATTTATAATTTAATTGCTCATTATTTTGATAACTTAAATCAATAGTTTTTAAAAAAATATTTTAAGATTCTGACAATTTCTAAGCGCTTTTAATCGTCGCGGGCGCTACGCAATTTTAGACCTTATGACGGCGTTTCTTCAAGTTTTTATAGAAATTATGTATTCACTCGGATCAGTACGGCGATAGCGTTTTCGATGTGTCGTCTTAAGCATGGTGCAAATATAAAGGAAAGTTTTATACGTTTATTTATTTTATTCTAAAATACTTAAACTCTTGAAAAAAGTTGTATATGAAAATCTTGTATGAAACTAACATTTCTTTTTCTTCTTTCTTTCTTCTTTCTGAGGACTAACGTCTATGTCACACCTGTGCCGGTAGTTGATAGAAGGACTTAGCTCGAAGTTGTTGACGAGTAGATATGTTTAACTGGGACAAATAGTCCGACTAGATAAGACCAACTTCGACCAAAGGTCAATCGGTAGATTCAAACCGGCTGGGCAGCGTTCGGTAGATTACGACACATCTTTTCGTCAGATATACCTCAAAACTTAAAAAGCAAGATCGTACAACCAGTCCATGTTGCAAGTGATGACTTATGGATCTGAAACGTGATCCTTCACTGTTGTCCAGGAAGCTCAAGGTCGCTCAATGAGCTATGTAGAAGTTCGGGGTTTGTCTGCATGATAGATGAGTATATCCGCAGTAGAACCAGAGTAACAGATATAGCCCAACGTTGGTAAGCTGAAGCTGAAGAGTTGCCTAAGTCCCCCCCGTGACTGGGTGCTGTAAAGTGCTAAAATGTCGGGAATATAAAATAAGTTAATATCCTATACCTTTAAACTAGCAATTCTTGTATATATATAAGCGGAATCTCGGAAACGGCTCCAACGATTTTCATAAAATTTAGTGTCCAGGGCAGTTTCGGGGGCAATAAATCGATCTAGCTAGGATTTATTTTTAGAAAATGTCTTTTGTCCGTGTTTTCGGGCAATCAAAAACTGCGACAATATAAGAAAGTAAATTTTGACTCTTTGTTAACAATCATAATAGCTCAAGTGGATATCGAGCGGTCGAAAACCGTAATCGCCTTGGTTCGCGTCATGTCTTCGGTCCGACTTTTTTTCCTTTTTTTTTCAAGTTCTCTTCTTTTTTTAGAGAGGTCTTTTTTTAGTATTTTTTAAAAATACGAAAATTTTAAATAAACTAATTGCACTCATGATTTTTTATTCAAATAACCAGTTCAGTTTTTTCTATTATGTCAATAAGATCAAAATTATTATTCATATTTCATCAGTATGTAATTTGTATCTAAATGTAATTTAAAAAAAAAAACCGAGCAAAGCTCGGTCATCCAGGTACTACGCAATAAAATCCGTAAAATAGTTTTAGTTAAATTGCATTTGTATGAATAAAAATATCAGAATATATTTGATGGATAACTTTTATCTGACGATTAAAAAGTCAGTGAGTAGGTTAATATGAAATAGTAAAAACTATTTTGTATAAAGTTTTTTTTTTGGAAAAGGTTTACCCATTTAAAGTTGTTAAAGGATATTTAATTTATTTTCTCTACTTGTGAATAATGAGATTTATAGATGCAGATGCACATAGTTTTAGTGTGCGTAAGCTTGAGGGTCAAATATAATAATAATTTTTGCAATAACGGTGGGTTGGCAAATGCTACTTGCAATTACGTACACTAACATACTAGTACGCATGCCTACATATTATCACAGTAAAAGTTAAAGCATCTATAATATACCATGTGCAGCTGTAAATCCCTCAAAGGAAGTTAAATACACACAAAAAAATGAAAGGCAAGAAAATTCGTAAATTAAGTTTTATTCAAAAGTAGTATTTTTCCGTTCAGCTAAACGTTAGCGGCTTTTTTTTCAAGTTTTGGGTTATACTAACTTTTTGTGTGTTTGTCAGATATTACGCTTTCAAGGATATTTCCAACAAAGTCTCCATGAAATGCGCTCAGCGTCTCACGTAGTTCGCAAGGTGGATATTTTCTTCTTTCTTGAAGATGGCACTATAAAAGTAATAGAGTCTAAAACGGACAACAGTGGACTGTCACAAGGTAGGATTATTGGATTATATAGGTCTACGCTAGACGAGCTGAGCACGAGCGGAGCATGAGCCGAGCAAAAATTCGTGTAGCGTGGACCGACTTACAAGCCTCGAACGAGCGCGCTTCGACCATTTTGTTCGTGCTCGACTGTACTACTATTACGGTTACCTATTGTCGGTTTTTTGACGAAAACAAAGAGATTTTCATCGCATACATCGATTTGCAAGTTGTAGGCTCGTTGTACGTCCATACTTATTGACACCGCGAGTAGAGCAGCTCAGTTTGTGCTCGGCTTGTGCTCGGCTCCTCTAGCGTAGACCCAGCTTCAAGGTGGTTAAGGTAAGATGGTTAAGGTAATGGTATAGTTGTTGATCGTGTGGTTTAGCTGTTCCTGATCTATCTGGCCTCTTCAGCAACACATAACAGTACATTGAAGGTCATCCTCTCACATTCTCATATTCGCAGAGTTTGATATGTGTATCGGCAATTGCGCCATGACGTTTACATAGTTCCTAATTCGATTACCATTTGGGTTTATATTTTAACAGAGATCTTTTTAAAGAAATTACACGGGAATAAGGAAGTCGAGTGTAGTGGCGGTGTAGGAATATCAAAAGCCCCATGGGCATCCCCATCATCCCGTGGGCAGGTGAGATGGGCAGCAGCGTCTTCCTAGTAACGAGTACAAATCGAAAACTGCTGTTGCCAACCTGCTTGCCAAACGTGGCAGCACTGTGGCAAATATCCTCTCTAAGAGGTTATCTATGGCCTGTGTTCGGCATAGGCTTTAATTGTAACGACTTTTAAAGAAAATAATATTCTAATTGTTACTTCATGATTCATCATGGATATTATTTATTTATGTATGTAAAAACTTGATATTTATACTTTTAACACTTGCCTTAAATTTAAACTTATACTTTCTATAGTTCAAAAACAAGCGTCTCATTTTTGGGTGCTACATATCACTATTATTAACAAATTATTTTTATATAGCATTGGCAAATTATTTTTATTAGTTGGTGACAAACGAGCACACAGTCCACCTGATGGTTAGTGGATGCTGTGGCCCATAGATATCCACATTTATCCTCAATTAAGAATCAAAATGAAAATATTGTCACCCCTGAGGACTAAATTGCAATGCCTCGATTCCAGTAAAAAGGGTCTCCGTTTCTCTAAATTCTCTATTACTATACCTATATATTAATTATAAATAATTTACTTTTGCATAAATGTAAAGTACATGTAAAAATCATTATTTGAAGAAAATATATCATAAATTAGGTGTTTATTTAAAAATTGCATGAACATAATACGCTTCCTTAGACTTTTTTTAACTTATGTGAGTTGGAAACATAGCATTATACATTATTGTTAAAAGTAATAGTAGAGTGAGAGCGGATGTTACACTTGCTCATTCATTATTCAAAGTGTAGTATACCTGTTCTTTACAATCAGTATGGAACAGGTACAGTTCCACTATATCGTATAATATTCACATACTAGTGTAACATGTTGGGCGTAATTACGAGTACATGATAACACCCGACGAGATTAAGTATGCAAGCACAGTGACACAGGGCAGCCTCCGCTATACGCGCTTTATAGCTCGTACTAAAAATTACCAAAACAGACAGAAATAATGGCACTGCCTAAATGACTCGTAGAATGACTGCGATAGAAAACAACCCATAGAATCTCTCGGCGCGTCGCTATTTAAACGAGTAGGAGGTTTTGAGATGACTCTTTTTATTTCGTACCCACTGTCTCTGACATATTTAATAAAATTGTATGTGTTGAGAGAAAAAAAGTCTATTTGTGAGTTCTTTGTCGCTTCGTCTAACAATGTCTTCCACAGTAAGTAATTTTTGAAGCGATAGGGTAGCATTTTCGACTTTTAAAGTACTTTGTAAACACAACTCTTGAATATAAATACTTCGATTTTGAGCTAATACACAAATTATTGATAGTCAAGTCCTGAAGTATTGTGAATGGATTCTTTTTATCTCAGAGGCTTTACTTTGGTGATGGACAAGTTAGCACGAGGAACCCGTACCGTAACCAATGTATTCCAATTATTGTGGCATTACTATTTAATTTCCGAAATATTCGGATATTCTTTACGTGTTTCAATCATAATCGTCATACCTAATACCTATTTTGCGTTTGAAATTTTTTTTTAATAAGATACTAGTTGGTACCCAGCGCGTTGCTGCCGCGGAAGAATTAATTATTTTATTTCTATTTTGAAAATGTCGTTTTAAATTTGGAAGAGTTATATTGTTTAATTAGGAATAATAACACATTTATAGAAATTGAATCTTAGGTAACTCTCAAATAAATTTTTCGGTTCGATACGCCAGCTAGGTACTGTAAGTTAATTTTACTATACCTAAACCTTCGCACAAGTGCAAGCAATAAGTAAACAAAGTTTCACCGCAATCTGATGAACGGTTTGGCAGAACATAAGAAACTAGCAAACAAACATTATTTTTTATATATTAGATTTAAGTTTTCCGATGACTAAATATATTTTTAAGAAACTTACAGGTATATAGTATGAATAATAGTCATTTATTTTATAGGAACATTGATAAGTCGTCAAAGAATAAGACTTCCTCAGAGCTATGATTTGTACTATGATGTACTTGATCTTAATATTGGTAAGGAAGTCATGTTTTATGGGAAAGTATTTAAGGTACGTGACAATATAAATAAGTACAGAACCAGTAGTTGTACAGTTAAATATTACTAGATAATATTTATAATTTAATTTTTTAGATTGTTAATTGCGACAATTTCACTAGAGTATTTATAAACCGCCTTGGAATAAATGTGCCCGATCCCATTCCTTGGCCTGATACAGTCGACGTAAGTATTTGATAGTAATTAATTTTACCCAAAGCCATTCATAGACTCGTAATCTTAGTGTACATTATTTTTCAGAGAATCCCTAAATCTGGTAAAGAACCAAAACCCAGACCATTTAAACAGTTTTTGGATTACGATAGACAGGTTTTGCGGTAAGATTTTATTATACGTATATTTTACTCCGATCCAAAAAAAGACTTTTAAAACTAAAGAAGTGGTTTGTTTTCTTAGATTTTTTGGCTATTGGGATGATCGTGACTCGCAATTTGGTACAGTGCATCATCTAGAGATTCATTATTTCCTCGCTGATGATACGATAGAAATAAAGGAAATACTTCCACCAAATTCTGGCATCGAGGCTGCTCCAATGTTTTTAAAGAGAATGCGTTTGCCAAGGGTTCGTAGATTTCATTGTGTTATGTTGATAAGAAATATATTATTACTGAAAGGTAAATAGCCCTAATGTTGTTTTACGGAAAAATAATAAATGTGGAGAATCTGTGAATCCATTTTATTGTAACGTTATAAATAGTAAATCTATATTATTATTATTTTACGTAGTAGCGCCACGCTACAGCTATATTATGGTTGTAGCACGAATGGGTCGACCCAGCCGGGGTAGGACCACGTTCTCACAGAATACCAGCGTAAAATAGTAACTTAAGGCTGCTGTGTTTCGTATGGTGAGTGTAGAGATATGGAGAGCCTTTATACTGGAAACGAGGCATTCCATCTCAATCCTCAAGGGTGGCCATGCATCTGCATTTTGATTCTTAATTTAGGATAAATGTGGATATATGGCCACAGCATCCATCTACCATCAGGTGGACTGTGTGCCCATTTGACACCATTATTCTATTTAAAAAAAAAACTTAATACTTCATCCAATGTAGAACGTGTACGTGCGACCGTCACTATCTATACTATCTATTATATGTCATATAAATTAATATATCAAATAAGTAATAAATATTTTAGAAAATTCCACCGCATGTAGAGATGACTGGTGGCCCTCAAACACAATCTTACACTCCGGCTGATCTTAGTATTGGAGCTGTAATCAACGTATTTGGACGTAAAGTAGTTCTTACCGACTGTGATCCGTTTACTAAGGAATACTATCGTGTTACTTATGGATTTGGTACGTATGCATACGTGTAGTTGTGTAGATAGACTACTTACATCAATAGTATCAAACTGTAAAATACCCAGATTATATACTGGGAGGACAGAAGTATGAAACATTTGGAACAGCGACCGGCGGGCAGATTGTTTTTTTTTTAGAATAATTTTTAATTTGTACATACACTTCATTATGTTATTTAAAGAGAAGTCAATATAAATTTTGTATTTCTAGACAACTTCGCACCGCTGGAAGTACCTGCAGACAAAAACACGGAATGCTTTCGTGAGAACATGGCTGAGCGAGAACTGCCCCCTTGGAATGGTTTTGGCTCATATGACGATTCCGCAGAAAACTGCAAAACTGTGGAGCCGAAGGCACCGCATCGTGACTTTATAAAATTTATACATAAAGATAGGTAATTACACAAATAATTTACTGAAGTACCACGATAACACACATTAAATATAACGAATAAATTATATAATCATATACAGCATTTCAAAGCCCACAGCTGAACATGGGTGTTACTAAGAATATGCTATGCATTACTTTGGGCAGGCGAATTATTAAACATGTTGCAGACACTTCTGTCAAATTAACCGTTAGTTTAATTTAGTGTTATATTTGCATTGGTAGGATTTTCTGCTGACAGTTAGTGCAGGTACAGGTGTAGGTGCAGGTGTTTAGCTCTTATATATTGGCATTGTATGTATATAAGCTATATGACCAGACCATTGCCACTTCAGCTCACTAATCCGTTGCTTACTCTAGTTCTTCTACGGATATCCTATTTTTTATAAGATAGTGTGACAAATGATCACACAATCCATTTGATGGTAAGTGGTTGCTGCGGGCCGTATATATCTACATCTATTCTAGATTCCAAACCAAAATGCAGATGCGTTGTCACCCGTGAGGACTAAGATGGAATTCCTCGTTTCCAGTAAAAAAGGTCTCCGGTTCTCTACACTCGCCATACGAAACATAGCAACATTAAGCTACTATTTCACGCTGGTATTCTGTGGGAGCGTGATCCTTCCCCGGTCGAGCCGACCCATTCGTGCAACAACTATACTACTAATTTATCTGCAGCATGGCTCTACCACGTATAAAAACATACTACGAGCATAGCCCTCTCCATAGCTCGCGGAGCGATCTTGAGCTTTCTTATACGGCCAGCAGTGAAAGAACATGAAATGAACACTCAGAATCCGTAAGTCATCACTGGCAATACACATTGATTGTACAATCTTGGTTTGAAGTTTTGAGGTATATCTGACGAGAAGATATGTCGTAATCTCCCGAACGCTGCACAGCCGAGTCGAATCCGTCGTTTAACCTCTCGGTCGAAGAATCGTCAACACCTTCGGAGTGCATCCAACGATTTCGAATCAAAGCGTCACACATCATTTTTGTTTTGTCCATGTCGTTCAATTGAAGGTATTCGCCATTGATGTCAATACCGTATCCTTTCCAGTCCAATAGCTTGTAAACGTCATCCAATATAGCGGTGAAGAGTTTCGGGGATATAAAGTCTACTCTGTCTTACACCTATCTGCTGTTATAGGTTTCCTGCTGTACAAACACTTCAGAACACTTTGATATATCGGTATTCATTTAGCGGTACTAAAGGGACTGTAGCACCGTCCAAATTTCGACGGTTTTCTAATAGTTTATTAAGATTTTCTAATAGTCCACATATGCAGGTCAAAGTAGCAGATTGTACTCTTCGGTCTTCGATTTGCCACTTTGTCTTACTGAGGCGACGGTGTAAATGACCATATTTACAGATTAATATGATTGTTATACTTAGATTGTGTTAAAGATTATTATAAAATTCTTGCCGATTAGACATATTGTTAATCCATTTTCAAAATTAGTTATGTCTGCAATTAACTAATTAAATGTGCCCCAATTATAAAAAACAACCGATTCTTACAACAATCAATTGATGTTCATCAATTAATGTATGCTTGGAGTCTTTCTTATTTGCAATACATAAAGCGGGGATTCCCCGAGAGCCCGGGTCACAACAGATGTTTTACGGCGAAAATATGAACCAATAAACAAAATAGAAAACTTTATTTTTTAAGCTATAGCCACAAATATAGTAAGAAGTACTAGCGGCTATAGCACTGCATTTTAAAGTGGCAAGAATTTTATTACCTACCGGATACGTTCTAAAACTGACTGGGTGATATCTTTTCCGACAAATGCATTGAAATTTTGATACATTTTTTCAACTTGTTTATTTACGTCACCTACCTTAAATTGTCTTATACTAATACATTTTACTAAATGTTGAAATAATAAATATTAAGATCCTCTTGTGCTCACGGTCCACTCGGGCCTGGGGGCCTTTGTTACACCACTGCGCTGAATGGCACATTTCTTGATTAGTTTAAACTACGATTTAAATAATACCACGCAACTAGCCATACAAATTTACCAACCCGCACGACAGAGTTTTTTTTAAAATAAATTAAACGATATATTTTCAGAGTCGGCTTCGATTCCCACATATTACGCTTTGCTGCGCGCCTTATCAATGACAATCCCGAAGACGCCCGGAGATACTTTGTTGTGAAATATTTTCTTTGCGATGATACTATCGGTGTATTTGAGCTGGGAGAGAGAAATTCCGGATTTTTGGTTGGTTGTTGTTATGTTTAACAATATACGATAAAATTACACTACGAGTATGTCCGAATGTATATACATAGATGAAGAATATTGATGCTATTTCAGTTTTTCCCTCGAATTAAATAGCAAAATTATTGTTCTATATCAATAAGAGCCGTGGTAGCTCAGATGGTTAACGCTCGCTGTAAATATAACAGAACGCGAGTAACCCGGGTTCGAACCCCGCCGGTACCAATGAAATTGTTAATTGCAATTTTAAGTGCTGATTTACCACGTGCTCGGCGGTGAAGGAAAACATCGTGAGGAAACCTGCATGTCTGAGGAATAAGAAAAAAATATTTCGAAGACATGTGAAGTTCGCCAAAACGCATTGGGGCAGCGCGGCGGACAATTCCTTGCCCTAAAACCCCCTCAGAAATGAGGGGAGGCCTGTGCCCAGCAGTGGGACGTATATAGGCTGTAACTTTACTTTACTTTTATATCAATTGTATTATTAAGTAAATTGACTAGTAGAGTTTAGAAGGCTATTGTAAGATCACTAATTTTATTTATATGATTTATTTAGTTTCAACTTTTTTTTTAATGAGTATCGTCTGAATGATTATTAAATTATGTTTATTTAACGCTGGCTATTTTCAGGGTGGCAAATTCTTTCGTCGTGAGAAAACGTATTTACCAGACGTGGACTTTTACGTATCTAAAGAGCCTCCGACATACACAGACAAGGATATGTGGGTTGGGAATGAGCTGGTCATTAACAAACACCGGTTTCGTCTTATTGCTGCTGATGAATACGCCTTGCGGTATATGGAACTTCATGCGGACGAGGTTGTTTTCCTTTTTCTTTATAGCCCTTTCATTTTTTAAATTCCTCTTCGAGAATGTGCTTGTCACAGTGGGCAGGTGGCCAGTGAGCGAGAACTCATACCCGTACTACTGATAATGTTGTTCCCTGATGTTATTTTGTGTGATTTGATTTCGGCATTTCTAAATGGATATACTTGCATTTATCGGTTAGTAGAGCTTTACTCGTTAATAAGCACGGTATGCGTCTAACATTTAAGGTTGGTATTTTTAGTAAATTAAAAAAAATTGAATTTTTTGAATCTATTCCCTCACGCTCATAGTCCATAGGAAAGAGATTAGGCGCAGGACCTACGGCTTTACGTGCTTGCCGAGGCTCGGGGGTGAAAACACCGCCAACTTCCTGACTTCATGATCAGCAACCTCGTTTAGACCGCTAGACCACCGAGGCCGTCAATGATGTGAATAGATATATCATTGGCGTGTGGTGGTGTATGGTAGCGGAGTAAGAGAATCTAACTCTCCATTTCATTCTGTGGGTGTCGTATGAGGCGATTATGGGAAATGCGAGAAAATCCTGTGGCTCCCGATGGATGGCTCTGTAAAGCCATCTAATTTTGGTACTCAGTCAAGCGACAGGCAGCAGCGTCAAAAGTCAAGATTATCTTTTAAGGTAAATCCTTCCTAATGCGGTAGAGATGGTAAGAGATGGTAAGGTTACCTTACTTTTACACATTATTTTTAACACTTTTCCTTTATTCATTTTTTCTTTAATTGATTGTTCACAAAAAATACAGCACAAAGGGTACCCTACCCCTATCCTATACCTATAGTAAACAATATTATAATTATGTTGTAGTTTTACCTCGATATACACTGTTTTTACACTGATTTTCTTGTAAAAATATAATTAAATGTTTTATATGATGTTGCGGTTGAGGTATTGGATACCTAAGTATATCTATATTTAGAATTTCTTTGCTGTCTTCAATCATGTTTATCTGCCTTGTGATAAAATTTCCTTCTCCGGAAAATTTACGAGTGATTAACTACAATCCATGTGAGTTTATGAGCTACTCTTTTTTATATTAATTGCAAAACATAACAAGCAACAGTTGTGTAGTTGAAAATGAAGAAAGTTAGCAATCAGAAAGTAAAGTAACTCACTCACACCTATCAGAGGGGTAGGCAGAGACTACGGACTTCCATTTGCCACGATCCTGACACTCCTCTCTCGCCTCCTTTACATCCATATATCTACGCATAGACACTCGTCGGTTAAGGGTACTTCTTCTAGGGCGTTCTTCCCGACTCTGCCGTTCACATCTGCTTTGTCTATTAAAGTAAAGTCTTAATAACATTTCTCAACATAGTGCCTGTGCAACAAAGTTTCTTCATGCGTATGATCTGAACTTATATTTTGTGGATGTACTGAGCAATTTTATTCATTTCCAGTATCCGATGTCCAATGTAGCCCTGATAATGGATAAGATAAGACGGACGTTAGCTTCGCAAGAAAATGGCTACAAGAACTTTGTTGCTAAATATATGGAAGCTGTCCTACCTGATAAAAAGGAACTGATGTCTGTTCAATGCTTCAAGTAAGAACAATTGTTTAACTTCTACGTCCATACTGAAATATTTTAACCGTTTTGCATTATATGTTGTAGCCTATATCTATTGTATAATTGATTTTTAATAGTGAATGATTTAATTGATTCATTTAATTATTACAGGCAGGCATTAAAAGAAATTATGTGTGAAAAAATGACAGAACATGAATTTTTAACTCTTATTAGACATTTTCGAGGTGATCCTGGAAAAGATAAAAGTCCACGACGAGAAATGATAAGGTGAAAGAGATTCAACATAATTTATTGATAGCAATTTTATTTAATAATTTTTAAACTGGGCAGTAACAAATTAACAGATGCAGTTTAGGTTTATTTGAATAAATTATTCATTATAAGTACTAATCAAAGTGCAGATGTGTTGTCACCCGTGAGGACCAAGATAGAATGCCTCGTTTCCATACCAAACACAACAGCGTTAAGCTGCTATTTATGCTGGTATTCTGTGAGTGCGTGGTCCTTCCCCGGTCGAGCTGACCAACTCGTGCTACAACTATACTACTATTACAACCGCAGCATGGCTCTACCATGTATGAAAATTTTCTAAAAAAAGTTAAGTTAGAGCCTATAATACGCCTCGTTTCTGGCCACAGGTCTCTTATTTCTGAAATGGAAAGTGCAATTTGTCCGCCGCGCTGCCCCAATGCGTGTTGGTGGACTTCACATGTCTTTGAAATATTTTTAATTCTCCGACATACATATTTCCTAAGATGTCTTCCTTCCCGCTAAGCACGTGGGAAATCAGCACTTAACATTACAATAGAAAATTTCATAGGTCTCTGCGGGGATAGAACCTAGGTTGCTCGCGTACTATGAAATTTACGGCGATCGCAAACAAATTATTAATAATATTATACATTTAATCTTACTGTTTCTTAAATCCACTATGGATATAGCCTTTTACTTCGGTATGTATACATTACCTACTCGTAGCTTTGCCTATACTCACTACGCTTGTTTGAGGTAGCCTTGCGGTAGTAAATCTGCTCTTTATAGAATATGGATGACAAACGGGCACACAGTCTACTTGATTGTAACTGGATGCTGTGGCCTGTTTATAGCCACCTACCTACCTTCATCCTTCTTCGTTTAAGAATCAAAATGCAAATACAAATGCGTTTTCACCCTTGAGGATTAAGATGGAATATACCTCATTCCCAGTAAAAACGGTCTCCCATTCTGTACACTCACCTAACGAAATACAATAGCATTAAGCTGATTTTTTACGCTGGTATTCTGTGAATGCGTGGTCCTTCCCCGGTCGAATGGAACCATTCGTGCTGCAACCATAACATAGCTGCAGCGTGACTATACCGCGTTAATATCCCTCTATTGGCTCCCCATCAACTAGTCTTTGAAATTTGGTTGTAAAAATTTTGTGTGCGCATGCGCGTGTATGCGCGTGCATGCGTGCGTGCATGCATGCGTGCGTGCGTGTTTGTGTACGTGTGTGCGTGCGTGCGTGTAAATCATATGTCTTGATTTAAAAAAAAAAAATTGTATTAGGTCCCTGGTTTTTACGGAGTTAACACGAGGGCTGTGGGACGATCGCGAACGACTTCGCGAAGGTCTATTGCATGCAGATGAAACCGGGCTAGGAACATTGCCTAGATCGTGCCTGAGACAAATCCTGCGTGCAAATCATCTGTCTATAAACACCGATCTCATGGATTGCATGCTGGATGTGTTAGTATGGTTTATCTTAACTATAGGAAAACTATCGCTATTATTTTCATAACAATGCGGTAGTCCATTTTTGAACAAAGGCCAAAGGCGTACTACTAAGTTGGATCTTCCGGTTCATCTAACCAGACTCATACTTAAACATCGTACTATTAAAAAAACCTTTCAATGTGAAAGTGTAAATGCAGAATACTAAAAGCAGTGAAAACTCAGGGCCTAGTATATAGAAAAAAGCAATTCAATCTCGTTGTCAATACCGTAGTTGATGTTATTAATTGCTAGTTTAACAAATAGTACAATATAGTAATATAACAGTTAGTATTAGACAAATGTGTACCTGAAAGAAAAACAACACGGATAGGCTCAGGTCGGATATGCCCCGAATGGTATACTAGGGATATTATAAATTTAATAAAATATAAAGCTACGTCCCATAAAAAATATAAGAAGACACGGTTAGCCAATGACTATATAAAATTCGCTGAGTTGCGAACTAAACTTAAAAATATGCTAGTAACTGCACATAGCCAGCATAAGCACATCGTGCAAAATAATCTCCAAAGAGACACAAAATCCTTTTGGAATTTTGTTAACTCGAAAAGAGGTAATCGAAATCAAAAATTTTTTTTTAAAAATGGGAAGGTTTCGACCTACGAGCATTGTGCTGTTGAGTTTGCAAAATACTTTCATTCGGTATATACTACACAGAGAGCAGACTTAAATGTGAGTATGGCTATCATTGACGCCGAAGGCGATAACGGGGCAGCGCGAATTCACTTTTCACTTGAGCCAGTTGCAACTTAAGGACATACTGACCGCGCTTAAACAACTTAAGCCAAAGAAATCTGCAGGACCAGATGGAATACCACCTTTTATCTTTAAAGATTGCAATTCTGTGTTAGCAACACCACTACTTCACATTTACTATAACTGTTTAAACCAAGCTAGATTTCCGGAAAAATGGAAAATAACGAAGGTGGTTCCCGTTCCAAAAAGTGGTTCTTTTTCAGGGACCAGTGTAGAGGACTTTAGACCGGTAGCAGTCCTATCTACTCCAGCCAAGGTATTTTAGCACTTGTGACTGATATAATACCAGTAGTAGATAGGGGACAAGCTGACACTGCTTATTTTGATCTCAAAAAAGCATTTGATTTGGTTAATAATGACATATTACTAAAAAAAAAAATGGCAAAATTTGGTTTCACCCCACACTTATTGAGTTTTTTCGCTAGCTACATGACAGATAGGCATCAGTATGTAGAATAGGAGGGTCATAAGACAAAACCATATTTTACATGGTCTGGTGTGAGTCAGGGGTCGAATCTAGGCCCTTTGGAGTTTTTAATCATGATAAATGACTTACCCAATGTTGTGAAGAAATCAAAATATTTGTTATTTGCAGACGACCTTAAGTTATCGATGGATATAGGTAGTTTGGAGGACCGTCACAGTCTCCAAGATGATATAAATAGAGTTGTTAAGTTTTAGAGAGTTAGAGAACTTAGACTAGTTTCATATATATTTTGGTTCTTAGGGGTAGGATTATTAATGAGAATATGATGAAGAAGACTAATATTTGTTCCGGCTAGGTAAACATTCTGTGATGAAAACAAGTGATAAAAAAATATTGTACAACGGACTTAAATATAAATAAAATGTGGACATTGCATTGTTAATGATAACTCAAAAACTACGGGTCAGATCTTGATCAAATTTATATGGGAATACATGAGAAGCATCAACTTTCAAATAAAAAAATCATCAAAATCAGTTCACCTAGAAAAAAGTTCTGGGTAACACACATATAACAATACAGTCGAATTGAGAACCTTCTCTTTTTTTGAAAAATAATCACGATGTAAAAATATTTTGAAGCTTGTAATGCACACTGTGATGAACGGAAATAAAAGAAACCTAGCCGTTTCTAGCTATGCATTCTATCAATGGGTTGTTTACTGTCATGGCTCATTTACTTTGTGTTTACTTATCATAAAGCCAATGCTTGATTAAAATTCCATCTGCTGGTAAGTGGTAAAGCCCTAGATAGTCGCATCTATCGCAATGACTTTGCGTAACAAAAGCCTTTTCACTCTGCCTTGATGCAAAGACAGATTACAACAGATTATTTCACTCGTTTGCTATACGCATTGTAATAAAGGAGTAAAGGGACCCGCCGACCGCCTAGTTATCCGATGGTGTAAAGGGAAGGGAGGAATTAAGGTATTTAATTTCTGTACACACTCTCTGAAATGCATCGTATAGAATACCGAGAGGCTGGCAACTCTGCGACTGTGCTCGAAGTTAATAAGACTGGTTTCAAGCAACTCAAGGTTACCAATAAGCATTTCGGCAATTCCATGAACGACCGAACTTGCGCTTTATTTGAGGTAAGAAGCTGCCCCAGCGTGAAGAACTGCCGCACCCTTGCAAGGATACATAGTTGCAAGGACACCCTTGCAAGGATATTTTGCGGTTGTTTTAACCCTAGACTCAATTTACAGTCCATAGTTGAGTTTCGGAGAAATCTCAACCCCTAACTACTATAAGCGGTCATTGTACTCTTATTCGGTTTCACGTACCTATGATCATACATTGTGCAATTTTTTTTAAATAATTCCAAACGGCTTTCGAAGTAGATCTATCTATCTATCAACTAACTTATAAATAATTAATAGAATCAGGCGTTATTTTGCGGGAATCCATTATCCATTACCTTAAATAAAGTTGTTAAAATTAATTTGTTTATATCTGCGTAATGAAATAATATGATGTGATTTACCTGGTTTTAAGCTTCCAGCACAAGCACATCACGCCATTCCTTCATTGTTATGTGTCTATTGTGTGTTGTGTATATAGATTAGTGGTGACGGGGGTACCAAATTAATTTTTAACAACTTTCATAACTTATGTTTAATAATTTCTTAACTAATATTTAATAATTTAATTTTATGGAGTCTTAGGTGACGCTGACGTCATAAGATATTATTACACGTAATAATACTCGAGTGTAGGGTAGATGAGATAGAGTTATGACCTGGTAAGACATGCAGGAAGCAGGAAGTCGATGGATGCAGGTGGCTCAGGACCATGCTTTGTGGCATTTATTGGGGTAGGGCTATGTTCAGCAGTGGAATTGTGAAGGGCTGTAATGATGATGATGATGATGAATGAAGTTGAAAACAGTTTTCTTACTGAACTTTTCTTCATTTTCATTGTAATTGATTGGCAATATTAAATTTTGTGTGTGTGTGTGTGTGTGTGTAAATTAATAATTTCTAAATTAGTACCTAAGCATTAATTTTGAGAGAGTATTTTTAACTAATCGTAATAATGATACGAAAGGGATGTTTACTTATATTTGTTCATTAGGTTAAAGAAAGATGAAAATTGTAACATTTACTACGAAGATTTGATGGAATTCCTTGACTTTCAAACACGGCCCGTGTTCAACTTAAGCGAGGCTGATTATACTAGACTTGTGCGTCATGCTCCACCAGTAAAGGACGTAGAGGTGAGATCACTAGAAGTTTGATCTAATATTTTTATTAAATAATTTAGTACGCATCTAGCATAAGATATTATATAGTTTTATCTTATACTTCTTTATTGTTTCTCTATACATAAGTACTACACAAACAAGAGAGTAAAGTGTATTATTGTAATCGATCGAAGGCAGAGAATTATGAAGTAGAAATGGTTTAATTTCCGCACTGAACTAAACTGCAGTACCTCAACTATATTATATTACTGTAACATTAAATATATAAAATTGTTACAGTGCAAATTCTGGGATGATCAAGAGACTTTTATTAAGGAAGGCTACGTAAACTGGAATGCTTTCCTATGTCAGTTGAATTTGGAACATCTCGTCAAAGATCAGTCCTAAATTCATCATCATCATCAACAGAGAAACACATAACAGACGACATACACATTTTGATGTTATGTAAATTTTAGAGGGCTTTGAGTTATATGTTACATGTCTTCGATAATAATTTAAGATCATATAAATAGTATACAGTAAATATTTTATACAATTTGAAGCCTTTTGTAGTTGACTGTTTAAAATTGGTAAATAAAACTGCTTTTTGTCTTGAAATTTGTTTCTATTCGATCACAATAAATATCATCATCTCACTTTTTATATTTAATTTCACCATGAATACATGATAGGTATAAATTCTCTTTAGCAGGAACATCTTTTAAATATAGAAATACCAATTTACTTTCTTTTTATATACTTTCTTTCTATTTACTTTCTTTTTATTTCTGATTTTCCTGCTAAATTATGGAATGTGAAAATGGAAAGGTAAGTTTACCTTATACATTTTGTGTCAAAAGAATAATAACTAAGTATATAATGCATGATGTCAAAAGGGAAACCACTTACTGCAATATTTATTTCCAACAATAAACTTTGCTTTTTGCGGTAATTTTTGTGGCTTAGTGTATTTTATATTTAAATCAAATGTCCTAATACACGGTAGAACACTTGTCCATAGTTCATTTGAAATATTAAAGAATAAATAACTTAGCTTATTAATATACCTAAATGACTTCTTGATTAATCAGGTAAATGTTTTTATATTTTTGTCTCCTAGTTTTTCTTAAAATAACTCAGGTAGTTAACTTTGTAACGTTTCTAAAATTATGCTTACTCAAAGGCAACTAAATTAGAACTTTAATTTTTTATGCAATGTTAAGGATTTTTTGAGCACTATGTATTTATTATAGAATTTATAACAAATTAAATGTCGAAAATTATTAATACTCCGAATTTGAAAAAAAATATTAAAAAATAATAAATCAACAAAGTAATAAAATTCTAATGTTAAGATTTCTCAACTAAACAAAAACAAAACAAGAAGACACAATGTGACAAAATAAAAAAGATTGATAAAAAAAATCAGTAACTTCCAATTTATACAATATAGTGCTCATCTCTTATCAAATCTCATATGAATACCGAGCGTTTTTAAACATGTACTCCAGTAATATTTGAGCAATAAATTATAAAGTGGAACATTTTAAAGTGGAACATAACTATATTAAATTAATTAAAAAATAAAACACTCCATTAGTGGAGAATGTCATTTTTTGTGATTGTCAACATTATTCTTGTATTACATGGCACAAAGCATTCACTTCTGTGTCGATGTTTTTTATAATTACATTATCAATAGAAACGGGGTAAAACACATTACCCATGTCGTATAACTTATGACACTGGATACGACGATCGTAAAGAATATAATTTAGAAATTTAACTAATTTTTTACATATTTACAATCGCAATTATTATACATATTAATACATCTTATTTAGTTTTAAAAAACTTCTTGCACGTGGTCGCTCAAACGAGTAGTTCACATCAATCAAACGTTATTAATTTTATTGTCTTTGTCACCACATGTCCTTGACTCGTTCTGTTGCCGGTAATTGAGGTCGATACCTGGAAATATTAGGGCAGTATATTTTATTAGGACTTAGGTTAGTGATTTTTAAGAAGTAAAATTCAAGCAAACCTTTCCTGATTGACGGCGGACACTCTTGTGACCAAAAATCTGTTCCAAAAACGCAAAAGCTGATGACCGAAAATTTGTTGCAAAAAGCAAAACCTTATGACCAAAAATCTGTTGCAAAACGCAAAAGCTAATGACCGAAAATCTGTTGCAAAACACAAAAGCTAATGACCGAAAATCTATTTCAAATGCAAAAGCTAATGACCGAAAATCTGTTCCAAAAACGCAAAAGTTAATGACCGAAAATCTGTTGCAAAACACAAAAGCTAATGACCGAAAATTTGTTGCAAACCGCAAAGGCTTATAACCAGTGGTCGGAGTAGGTAGAGCTGTTTGGGGTGAATGACCGCAAACATTGATGTGAACATGGATATGCCTCTGAAATCCCGGGATTTTGAAATTGACGATTGATATAAGTGAGTTAATACGCGCAGGTAGTAGGTGAGCACCCAAACAGTATATACTGATATACACACACAGGGATCCTGGAATGTTGTTAGAGGTTCGTGAAATATGAATTAATTAAGTAAAACTGTTAGAAACAATATTAAATATACTTTACTGCACAAGGAAATATTAAATGCCTACACAATACAGAATAAAAAGGATGTAAAGAGTTTTATAATTTTTTTAATTTAAACAGAGAGAAGAAATTTTTATTGATTACTTTTTTAATTACCTATGCATATTTTTCTTGTAGTTTATATTTAGAAAATGTTTTCCGTCTTTCTCTAACATGGCAATTTATCTCTCTTTTATTTTTATATGTTTATGCTCCATGTTGCCAACCCGTCGTACGCGCTGTTTTCGTCACTTATTGTTTGTCTCTTTCTATCTTAAAACGTCCAAAAATTATAATTATAATTATATTAGCTATCTCACTTACATAGACACAGGTACAGTACAGCGGGCTTCACTCACTCTCTTGTTTCGGCTTGTAGAGTGCGCACGTGTGATTTATTGTGTTTCTTATTTTATTAGACGTTGGCTTGTTAACTGGTTTCTGGAATCTTACTGTCACGAATACTTTGGCTTGGATTTACGGATTTTGATTTGTTTTTTTGCGGACTGGATACATTTGAAACTGTTTGTTTGATTTAGCTACCACATTTGGGTTAGTGTTTTTTGTTTTTATAATATCTACTTACTACAAAGGACATTCAGTGAAAAACCAAAGTAATTTTCCTCTGCTAAATACATATTTTTTCAGGCTTCCGAAGTTCCAAAGGAAGCTTTATAGTTTCGCCATATCCGTCTGTTTGTCACAGCCCACAGCCATTTTTATATACAAAAGTTTAAAGTGGAATTTTTTGTTAGTGACCTGAGTAGCAGGGAACTTGATTACGTAAATTGTTCTCTCCCGCTACCCTACCTTGTAGGTGATCCGACACGCACCTAACCGTTTTTTTTCTAATACAGTCTTGTGTTAAAAGCTGACTAAGTCAATTAGAATACAAGGTGGACTAAGAACTCCCCCTCGCACACCCCTTCAAGCATCGCGTTTTCCTACAATAACCATTTTCATTGGCTATTGACTGCTCTTACCTAAATATTTTCGGAGACGAGTTTGACAGTGTCCTATTTGATTGTCTTGATCGGCTAACAAAATGCATTTGAATTATATATGTCATACATACTGTGGAACAATTTTTCGTAAATTTTTCACACCGTTTTTTCATTATTTCTACTATTTATTGGAAAGATTTTAACTGTTTACCATTATTTTAGGGCGACAAACGGAAATACTTGGCATATTATACCATATCCAGTATATATTTATATACTGGATATGGTACTATTTGTAAGAAATAATAGTAACTTATCTGTTAAATTAAAAAGCAAGAGATACCCTTTCCAAATAAACTTCATGTCTCACAAAACTAAACTTTTAAACAGTAGTGTATTTTGTATGATTCCTAGAGTGTATAATAATTTACCCAACTCTCTGCTTGAAATTTCAAATAATAATTTATTTAAAAAAAGTGAAGACACTACTTTTAGAAAAATCATATTATTCGGTAAGGGAATTTCTTGAAGACAAATTATAAATGTAGTATTGTAATCGGCTTAGTGGTACTGTGACATTAATTAGACATTTTATGTGACATTTATTTTACAAAGTTGACATTGTGTATTAATTAGGTAATCTCATTTGGCATTATTTTAATAATTATTTTAAACACTGTAATTTGATATGTAATAATTTTAATTTAAACTATAGGATATAATTAAGAATTTTTGCATGGCATGAGCCTAAATATGGCGATCAACAATGTAAATTGACCACTATAACACCATCTGTACCCATATTGCGCAAATAAAGAATTAAATAAATAAATAAATATCTATGTTATGACCGCATGTAGCAAATAACAAAAATACCTCTACCTACTCCTATAAAAACTACTGAAACAATGTTTTTTTAATTCCGAGAATTCCCGGTATTCCGGGAAATATTTGGCATATCCATGTTATGTCCGCATATTGCAAGTAGCAAAAACAGCTCTACCTACTCCGACCATTACTTATGACCAAAAATCTGTTTCAAAACGCAAAAGCTAATGGCCAAAAATATGTTTCAAAATGCAAAAGCTAATGACCGAAAATCTGTTTCAAAACGATGAAACTAAATTTCACACAAGAGATAAGATGTGACGTGGTGAGTAGATGTAAATTACTAACCAGTTAGTGCATTCTGAGGAAGGTCTATTCCTAGCAGTGGATTTGAATCCCGCTAGTGCGTTCTTGGAAAAATTTCTGTCCAGTAATGAACTAAATAAATGTTGCTACGTAAGTGAATTTTTCATTCAAGACATTTAAAATTAAATACATTTGTGTAAATGAAACATTTTACCTATGAGGTGAAACACCGATGGAACTAGGGCTTCCAGGCAAAGGCGACATTTTGATACCAGAATTATTGCCATTGATGCTTGATCCCAGACTGGATGCGGAATCAACTCTGAAACGGAAACGAAAGGGACATTAAAACATAATATGTAAAAATAAAATGTTACAAATAATTTCAAAAATTTAATGCACCAGTTTGTTATATTCGGGGCGAGGTAATCGCGGCAGTAATAAAGATTTTTTAATCATTTCGAAAACACGAAACATTAACGCAAATATATTTTTGTAACATGGATACAAACAGTTTTAATACTTTATTGTAGTATTACTCTGTAAAAATTTTTAAGTTTCTCTTCTCAGTTCTGAGGTATTTTCAAATCAACCGTAAAAGCAATAAATGGCTATCAATAAAAAAAATTAAATGTATTTGGAAAAGTTATTATATTATTTTATATAGTTTTTGACTTAAAGGCAAGGATGATTAACTTCTACTTGTCCAAGGTACTACTACTCA